TGATCCTTGGCAAAGGGTGAGGATCAGTGATGACATGATCATTTAATCTCCTAAAATCCACAACCATTCTCCACCCTCCATCCTTCTTTTTTACCATGAGGGTTGGGCTGTTATAAGGAGATTTACTAGGCCTAACAATTCCCAGATCTAAAAGTTCACCCACATATTCTTCTAACAATGGCCTCATCCCAAAAGGGATGGGGTACTGCCTTGTATAAACGGGGACTTTAGTATCTAGAGGAATATCTGCCTCGTAGATTTCACAGAGGCCCAATTGGTCAGCCTTTTTGGCTAGAACATTTTGATATCTAAATAATAGGGCTTTGACTTTTTCTACAAGGTGATCAGGGCATTCAGAAGATTTTATTTTTGCTTGATCAACTGCCTGATGCTCAGATCCTCTTCTTTCCCATGGATATTGGTTTTGTCCTGAGTGGGACTGGGAAATTTGGAATTGTTCTTCCTAATGTGATGGATTCTAGAAGACTCCAAAAATTGGACAGAACCAAATGTGAGAGTCATTCTAGGAGAAATCCCAATTGTTTCATCTGTCAAATTCATGCAGAGAACTGGAAGGATTCCATTGGAGATCCTAGAAAGACTTCTGGCAATTAAAACCCCATTTTCTCCACAATTGTGTACATAGATATCTTTTCCTTCATGTCTTGCCCCTTTTAATGAGGGCCTTGCTTTTATGAGCAATTGAGACATACTGGGAATAGATACCCTGGTACTTGGGTATAGCCTAAATTCCAAATCTCCTGTGGAGATATGATGGGTTCTGGAATTTTCACTCTTTGGGATACTGCCTTGTATAAATGGGAACTTTAGTATCTAGAGGAATATCTGCCTCGTAGATTTCACAGAGGCCCAATTGGTCAGCCTTTTTGGCTAAGACATTTTGATATTTAAATAATAGGGCTCTGACTTTTTCTGCGAGGTGATCAGGGCACTCAGAAGATTTTATATTCTGCTCGATCAATTGCCTGATGCTCAGATCCTCTTCCTTCCCATGGATATTGGTTTTGTCCTGAGAAGGACTGGGAATTTTGGAATTGTTTTTCCTAACGTGATGGATTTTAGAAGACTCCGAAGAATGGACAGAACCAAATGTGAGAGTCATTTTAGGAGAAATCTCAATTGGTTCATCTGTCAAATTCATGCAGAGAACTGGAAGGCTTCCATTGGAGATCCTAGAAAGACTTCTGGCAACTAAAACCCCATTTTCTTCACAATTGTGTACATAGATATCCTTTCCTTCATGTCTTGCCCCTTTTAATGAGGGCCTTGCTTTTATTAGCAATTGAGACATACTGGGAATAGATACCCTGGTACTTGGGTATAGCCTAAATTCCGAATCTCCTGTGGAGACATGATGGGTTCTGGAATTTTTGCTCTTTCTTAGGTTCCAATTTTTGAAAGATCTAGAGGAGAAAGGAATTTGTTTGTCATTCAAAAGAAGGTTCTGGGATCTGTAATCAATCAGGGCTGAAACCTGATTTAATACATCATTTCCCAGGATCCCTTCAAAGTCGGAATTTTCCAGAGGAGAAACCAGCAAGGAAAATGGTAATCTCTCCGAGTCTGGTAAGAGGATAGTAAAATCAATTTCCCCTTCCACTGAAATATTCTTTCCTTCCAAAGTGGAAATGGAAGTTCTAGTGGGTGCTGGAGAAACGTTGGATTTTAGAACAGAGGAAGAAATAAGAGAAATTTTGGACCCAGAGTCTACAAGAAATTTCACTGGAAAATTAGAAGAAGAAATATTTAGTAGCACAACCAGAAGCTTTTGATGAGCCCTCCTTGAAAAACTCCCGGTCTCTATTTGTTTCCCGAACTCTGTTCCCATTCTCCCTCAAACTGATCCAATGGTTTGGATTCAGTTTGTTGATCTTTCCTGTATCTTTGCTGTACATAGTGTACGTGACGTCCTTTCCTATCCCTGCTCATGCTTTGACTTCTACTCCTACTTTTGCTCCTATCACTGGAGTATCCTTCTCCAGGTGTTGAATCCCTTCTCCTAGTAGATCGCGAATTTCTACTGGGAGTTGTACTCCTATTTCTAGGGATCGGACTTCTGCTCCAATCTCCTCCCTTCTTCAAATTTCTCTGGTTTGGATGTTTATTCTTCATCAACCTGGTATTTGGTCTTTGTTTGTACCCCCTAACTGGATTCAGGCAGTCGTTCTTGTAGTGGTCTTTGTCCCCACAATTCCAACAACAATTTCCAGAGGGATTTCCTGGATCCATGCCCTGTGGGCAATTTGGATACCACTCTCTCCTCTGTTGTCCCAGAAAAGATTTAAAAGGAGGTTTCTTGAATGAGACTGCTCTATTAAATTTGTTAGAAAGGGCATACACACCGTAATCATCATCTCTATCTCTGTCTCTCTTTGATGAAATTAATTGTTCCATGCCACCTGCCATCTCTATGGCTTGTTCAAATGTGGTGGGAAATACATGGAATTTATCATAGAGACTTTTCCTTAACCCTTGCATGAAATAGGTCATCATCATGTTCTCGATGATCCTTTCTTCTCCCTGTTGTAAAATTAGTTCTTCTCTGAACAAAGGGTTTTTTGTGATAGTCAAAGTCCCATCCTTCAACTTTATCACTTTTAGCTCCGTTGGAGCTTCTCCAATCATTTGGGTGCCAATTCGGCAAATTCTTGTTGCAAAATCCCTGACCTTCTCCTGAGGTCCTTGCTTTGTTCCCTGAAGCTTTTTGATCCCTCCCAACATCAATCTATCTCCATGCTCCTTTTCCAGGGCCTGGACTATGAATCAATAGTCTTTTTCCAACAGGCCTGGGATTCCCAAAATAAAATCTCTAGCTGTCCCCTTCAGCTTTTGTAAGAGCAAAGATTTTAACTGATTGTTGGAAACATCGCAGTCATTGAGTGAGAGCTTAAAAATGCTCCACCACTCAACCCAAGGCTGGTCGTCTTTTCCTTCAAAATAAGGAATTT